GCGAGGAGGGCTGAGCAGATCCCTGCTGTGGGATGAGCCCTGGCAGAGCAGTTTCTGCACCAGAGCCATCTCCCAGGAGCTTCTCCAGCATCTGCAGGGGATGCAGCAGGGAGGGCTCTCACTGGTGTGGCAGTGCACCCCAAAGAGCCTTGTGACTGCAGAAACCATCAGAAACTTCCCAAAATGTGCGGCTGGACGCTCAGCTGTTGGTGGAAGGGCAGAGGACAGGATGTCACCTCTAATGTCACTTGAGTGCGAGGCGGTGGCGGGCAGGCTGCGGTGGGAGGTGTGGCGCTGCTGGGGGACCCTCCCTGGGCTCAGGGCTGCCCGTCTCCTCTCACCTGAACACTGCAGGATGAAAAGAGACGTCTCAGCTAATTCCTGCTTCAAAAGGGATATGAAATGACATCATGAAAACAAGGAAAAAGAATAATACAGGCCCTGGATCAGTGTCTGAATAATCTACGTCCAAACAGAAATGGGTGTCTCTGCAGTAGGCGGCTGTTTCATTTCCTGAATCCTAAGACGGGCACTTTTTCTGGGCATGGTGTGGAATACTGTCAAATTTTAATTTAGCTTGGCAGTGTCACACAGCCAGTCTGAGCAAGTCGGGGAAGGCAAGTCTGGAACTCATTAGAGCTTGTTGCGAGGCCCCGAAAATTTGATTTTCAATCACTGTTGGGTTTAATTATTGTTGATGTCTTGGCTAGCGTATTCTGAGATTCTTTCTGAGGAAATTAAAGCAGCATGAGTGGGACAGCGTTCTGTTTGGCACAGGGCTTGTTTAGATTAAATTCTGAGTGGAGAGTTAAAGCTGAAAGCAGGGAGAAGGCGATGGCTGGCACGGCGCGAGGCTGGAGCGGGCCCAGCTGGCCAGGCAGGCTCTGGGGCTTGTGTACTGTTCTCACTAAACTCTGTCCCTTCTGGGAACAAAACAACCCACAGAGCTGAAGGCACCTATCAAAGCCAAGGGAAAGTTTACTCAGTTAATATAGATTTTGGTTCTTTAACTTGTTCTTTCTTCTGTTCTTCAGCATGGCACTTGCAGACATCCAAAGCACCTGTAGCACAGCAGGGAAGTGCTCCAGGGTATGGTCTGGGGGTCTTGGTGCCTCAGGGAGAGGCAGGAGCTCCCTCTTCATCAGCAAAGTACCTGGATGCTTGAAGAGCTCTCTGCAGCTGTTGGCAGGCCTGGATGGCACTTGGGACTGGAGCTTTCGGGTGAAGTCCAGTCCCTTGGAGCTTTTATAAACTTGCCATCCCAGCTGGAATCTCAGCTTTGTGGCTCATGTGCTCCTAAGCTGAGTGCCTTGGTCGGGGTGTGCAGGGTGCCTGGGCTGCTGTTCCTGCAGCCTGGCGGGTGCCTGGCTCCGTGGGAAGGATGCTCAGCTCCCACATAACAGGGAGATTTTCTGTGGGACACCTCTGAGCAGCCTCTGTCGTGTCCCAGAGCTCTGTGAGCAGTTTGGCTGGGTGGTGGTGAGGATGCTGAGCCAGGGGCCGTGGAGGCTGTGCCCGAAGGTGCTGCTGCTCCGTGGTGTAAACGCTGTCAGAGCAGTAAAAAACCAGCTTCACCTCAGCTCTGTGTGCCTGGACCAGGAACCTGTGAGCAGTTCCACCCCTGGGAGTTGTCTGTCCCTTGCAGAGCTCATGCTCATCATGTCTGGCTGTAGCTGCCTCCAGCAGAAGCTGGCTCTCGTTATGGAGCTGGCAGCGTCTCTGCAGAGCCACCCTGGAGGATCAGCAGCTTGGTCCCAGCGCTGGGGACACGTCACACGTGGCTGGTGGCCCGGGGAGGTGGCTGTGATGGCCCTGGAAGCTGGTTTGTCCTCGTGGGGTGAAATCCCTGCTCACAGAGCAGTGTCCCTGTGCTGGAGCCTGGGGGAGGTCACAGCTGTCACTGGGAAGCAGATGTGGCTCTTAACAGAGAAACCTGCTCTGGGCAAGGCTTTATAGATATGGAATCATAAAGCAGCACAGGGGTTAAAGACCTTATTCTGGGACTTGGACTCAGAGCTAAACTGAGTCCAATAAAATGCAATTTACAAATTACAAAATCCCTCTGATCCTGCAGAGAGGCAGTGTCTGGAGTATTTGTTTAGGCTGGGGTTTTTTCCTCTTTTTTAAAGAAGGAAATACTGTATTTCAGCCATCCAGGAAAGGCAGTACTCAGATGTCCCATCTCGGAGCTACTGTTCTGTTTAGAGATGGGGCTCAGAGAAAGGGGAATATTTCCAGGCAGCTATTTGCAATTTCTGGAGAGCTGGAGTTTCCTAATGCTGGTACCAGCCTGATTCCTCACACTTTTACCATCCCACCTGCTCCCAACACTGACTCTGTTGCTTGGGTACATCTGATGAGCACAGGAAAGCAAATTCTCTCCAAAGCATCCAGAGATGGTTGCTTTCCTGTGTCTTGCCAGGATCTGGGCTGGCACTGTCCCTCAGCTCCTGCCATGGGATCAGGGCACAGAACGGGACATCACCCTGAAACCCTCACCTGAGTGCTCTGCAGCCCTCCACATCTGCTGTTTAATTCAGTCTGGGGGCAGTTCTTCCCATTCCAGACACTTCCTCACATCTTGGATTGAGCCTATAATTATCTGAAGCACGTCTGGCTTGTGAAAAAATCTGATTTTTCAGCGTTTGCCCTTCTCTTATCATTAATTCACACATTGTTAGTGAAGAAAGGAATGCTGCCAGCTATGTGCTCTTGGAAGAGGGAGGTATTTGCAGAGGCCCTGGTTGTTGGAGCTCTGTCATCCTGTAGGTTGGGATCTGGCAGCTCCACTGAAACAGTTCCCTCCAGTATCAGTGCCTTTGCCTGGTCTTTATGTTGCTAAAATAAAGGGCAGCAAACTTCCTACTCCACAAAGTTTAGTACAATAAGGGCTTCCAGTATCCAGATCATATCAACCCATTCACTGACGCCTTAAAGAAATCCAGTAGAGAGAATTTGAGATGAAAGACAGCCTTTGTAAGGGAATTTTTTCCTGTGAGTGTGGTAATTGGGATAACACTTGCTTGGAATCTGGCAGGGAAACAAATTTCTTGCAGGTCATGATTACAATGGATATTTTCTATGAAAATGAGAATAAACCATGGCTTTGCTGTTTTCAGCACTGCAGTGGTGAGTGAGTTTATTGGTTAATGCACCTCTGAGGGCAGTTGTTTGCCTTGCTCAGGTTTATTCCCTTTGCAGTTGCTGTCAAGGAGCTCTCCTGAAATGCAGAGCCCCAGGTGTCCCAGCCGAGCTGAGCCCTCCTGCAGGAGCTCCAGGGGCTGCTTTGGGCTGCTCTGTGCCAGGACTGGGAGAGCACACCTGAGGCTGGACCTCACCTTCAGAGGAGCTTTAAGGTCCCTTGCAGCCCAAAGCATTGTGTTTGCTGGTCTTTAGCAGCAAAGGAGGGATTAACCAAGTGCCCAACCTGTGAACTGGAGAGAGCAGCATTCCCTCGCTGGCACTCTTCTGTTGGATGAGAACCCTGCACTCTCCAGTTACTGACAACCCACAAGGAAGTTCGAGCTAACCCCAAATCCTTAAGGAAGTTTGATCCAGCCCACTGTTATTATTCAAGCTTCGCTCTGTTATAGTCAAGTAATGGCAGCAAATGATCTGCTGTCCGTCCCTGTCCCTCAGCAGTTGTGCTGAGCACTGATCCCACCCCTGTGAATATTGTGTGGCTTTTCCCTGTTCCTTTGTTCACAGCTCTTTCAGAGTTTGTTGTAAATCTTCAAGACTCTGCAGCTGCAGGAACGCCGAGGGCTCTCGAGGTCCCTCAGCCTCCCTGGAGCTGTGATTCAGGGTAGGGTGTCTGGTGCTGCAGGGTTTGGATGGAGCCTGTGGTGGCCCCCGGGGAGCACTGCCTGTGGGGAGAGGTGAAACGAGGACCTCGGCTCTGGAGGGCTGTTGGGAACTTGCAGTAACTTTTTGGAAACCAGCTTTTCCTCTTCCCTCCCTAAAAAGGAGGGGAAAACATACTTGAGGTAGTTACGTGTCTGCAGCACCGTTTTCAGTCCCCAAATAGGGTGTTGTGCAATAAATGCTTTTGGGATCCAGAAGCCTCTGTGGAAGCAGGAGGGTCCCCTTTGCCAGACCCTTCTGGGCCTGTGGCTGTGGCACCGTGTCCCCAAAGCCCTCCTGGGGCTGGAGAGCCACGGGTGACTCGGGAGGGAAAACTGCCCTGGGACACCTTCCCCTGGTCCTGCCCAGGGACACCTTCCCCTGGTCCTTCCCTGGGACACCTTCCCCTGGTCCTGCCCTGGGACACCTTCCCCTGGTTCTGCCCTGGGACACCTTCCCCTGGTCCTGCCCTGGGACACCTTCCCCTGGTCCTGCCCTGGGACACCTTCCCCTGGTTCTGCCCAGGGACACCTTCCCCTGGTTCTGCCCAGGGACACCTTCCCCTGGTCCTGCCCAGGGACACTCCTGCTCTGCAGGCACCCAGCAGAGTGCTCAGAGAGAGCGGGGTGCTGACCGTACTCTGCTGGGATCTGTGTGCTGGGATCTGTGCTGAGATCTGCTGGGATCTGTGCTGAGATCTGCTGGGATCTGTGCTAGGATCTGTGCTAGGATCTGTGTTGGGATCTGTTGGGATCTTTGTGGGATCTGGCTGTCCAGAAGGTGACAGAAGAAGGACCCTTGTGGGGTCTCAGCTGAGCAGCAAACAGGGCAGGCTGTGGAGCTGGAGCCTGAGCTGCTCCATCTCACCAGCCCTGCCAGGGAAGCTCAGTGATCCCTTCCAGAGGATTCCTCAAGGTCTAAACCAAGCTGGAGCCGTGTTTGGGTTCTTTCCCTGTCCCTTGTCATTGCAGGCTCTCTGTTTTCCAGCTGCTCAGTGAGCGATGCCCTGCCTTTGGCCGCTGTAACACAAACCATGGCATTACTGGTGTGTTCCTGACGCTGCTCAGCAATGTTTTTGTGGGGAGAACAGCCTCCACTTCCTATCATTTCACTACCCAAGAATTTCCTCTGCCCTAACTTGCTTTCTCTCTTCTAGCAGCAAGAATGCTGTGAGGCACAGAAAGCCAAAACAGAAATCTCACAAGGAGTTTCTATCTAGTCCTGGTGAGCAGCAGTGGACACCCACGGATGGGTGATTTTCATCTGTTTTCAGAGAGCAGCAAGAAGTGCAGCACAACCACAGCCCCCATGTCACTGCACCACCACCTCTCCTCCCCAGAGCATTTCCCCACTGTGTCTCCTGTTCACTATGGAAACCACCCCAAAAGTCCAGTTCCAGAGGCCTGGAAACATGCCACATTCCCAAAAGAATGGAGACAGACCAGGGAGGGCCAAGGTGCAGGAAGGCAAGTTTAGCATCAGGTTATGGCACTGCAGCTCCGTGTGTCCTGCCTGACCTCCTGCACATGTCATCACAGCTCCATGTGCAGTGTATGAACTCCATAAACTGCACCAAAACTGCCTTTAAATGAGACCTGAGCTCTCTGTGGATGAGGGGAAGGTGGCTCTGCAGTGTGTGGGCATGTTCCCTGGGTTTGATGTGCCAGCCCCTCCATCTTCCCTCGCTCTGAAGGGAAAACCTTCATCCCAAGCATCCTTAAATAAACTTGCAGCAGGGTTGCATGGACATGCTCAAGTGGTGTTTGGGAGGTTTGAGGCTTCATGGGGCAGAAGAAATGGCTGAAGAAATCCCTGTGTGAAGGACAATATACACTGTCAGTGCTGTCCCAGGGGGCCTGTGAGGATAAAGCCTTTCCAGCTGGGTGTCCTGCTCTTTTGCAGATGTCGGGGAGCCAGCCACAGGTGGCAAGAGGCGTGCCTTGCTTGCGCTGCAGAGGGCTGTGCACGGGCTTCGAGCCACACTCCTGGAGGTAACCATGGTCCTGTCCTGCATGCTGCCTCAGATGTGCTCAGTGACAGAACAGCTCGTTATTTCATACTTTATTTCCAGCTTTTCCTCTTAAAAACACAAATTTGGGTAAATGGCCCCTGATGTCAGCAGCTGGTGGGAGCAGAGCAGGACAGTGCCCAGCTCAGGGCAGGGGCTGCTCCCTGCCCCAGCAGGACAACAAAGGGGCTTTAAAATGGAATGCAGACATCCAGCTATCACTAATTAAAAGAGAATTAGTGCCTCACAAACACTGGGCTCCTCTCTGCCCCCGGGGAGCTCCCCTGGAGGTGTGCAGGGAGGCTGTGGTCCAGCTGTGCTGCTGCAGCTGGACTGCCTCAGATGCCTTCAGCTCCCACTTGTGATACCTCACCTGTGTGGAATCCACACTTTAAAGCCCTCATTTGGTGGAAGCACAACCATTTTTTTAAATTGACTCCATTAAAGGCTGGCTGGACTCATTCTTGCTCCAAGATCCTGCTGAAATCCTCGGGGTTGTGTCAGAGTTACTTTTCCCCTCTTGCTATTAGTGTTTGATGGCAGTGAAGGCCACAGGAGTGTCCTTAGACACTTGTCTGTGTGATTTATATCTATTATAGTTCAAATTACAGTCAATTAAGCATCAGTTCCTTCCAGCAGTCGCTTTTTTAATGGAATGTAAAGATTCATAATAGGTGAGGCTGGTGCTGGTCTGCTGGAATCTGGTGAGGAGACAAATCTCCACTCTAGTGATGCTTGAAGGGGTTCCCAGAGTTCAGGGGAAGCAGCAGCAGCTCCCCATGGGTGGGAGGCAGCAGATTTTGTAGTGCCAGGACCCAGGGAATGGCTCCCAGCACCAGAGGGCAGGGCTGGATGGGATTTTGGGCTGGAATTGTTCCTGGCAGGGTGGGCAGCCCCTGGCACAGGGTGCCCAGAGCAGCTGGGGATCCCTGGCAGTGCCCAAGGCCAGGCTGGACACTGGGGCTGGAGCACCTGGGACAGGGGGAGGTGTCCCTGCCATGGCTGGGGGGCACTGGATGAGCTTTAAGATCCCTCCCAACCCAATCCACCCCATCCCGAGCCTTTTGTCCGTGCCATGAGCTGTGTTTGACCCTTGGGAGAGGCCCCGCGAGTGAGCCCAGCGCAGCTCACAGCTGGGGCTGCTCTCTTGGGCTCAGGAAGATGTGCAAGTCGTGCAAGTGCAGCCAGGAGGAGCACGGCCTGAGCTCGGAGCTGGACGATGACCGCAAGATCGGCCGCCTGCTCGCCGCCTCCAAGTACTCCTCGCTCACCGCCCGGCTCAAGGGCGGCGACGGCGGCCGCATCTACAAGAGGAACCGCATGATCGTCACCAACCCCAACATCTCGGGCAAGGACCCCACCTTCGACACCATCACCTACGAGTGGGCTCCCCCGGGGCTCACCCAGAAACTGGTAAGGGGATCCACGGGGGCTGGGGTCGCTCCCTGGGGAACACAACTCTGCTCTGCAAGAAAGTTATCAGGGAGAAGCAGAAATGGTAAACCATGGTTTGCCTCAGAGAGCAGAGACGTACGGAGCACTCCGTGCTTTGGAAAACTGTAAATAAGCAGAGCAGGTGGGAGACAAGGCTGCAATGCCTTGGGGTTTTATAGGGGTTTTTTATTTGTTTACATTTCTGGGAGAAGTCTGAATGGATTTTACAACTAGAAAGCTCTTCTGGTAAAGCTCATCTGCACCAAGAGCATGGCTGAGGAGAGATCCCATGGCTGCAGCCCATGGCTGCTCCAGAGCCCCAGGCTGGATGTGAGAACCACTCCTCCAGGCCTCGGGGGTGTCTGGGCAGAGGAGAGGGGTTTGGTTCCTGGTGAGCACATGGGGCTGCTGAGCAGCTGGCTGGCTGTGCCTCAGGCTCTCCTGCTCTCAGGAGATCCCTGTGCTGCTGGAGGAGCCCTTCCCTGGAGAGTGGGCTCAGAGGCCCCACTGCCAGGCTCCCTTGGATGGAGAACTGCAGCCCCTGCCTGTTCCAGCAGCACAGGGAGCTCCAGGAGCAGGAGTGGAGGCTCCTTGTGCCTGGCTGAGAGCTGAGCTCTGTGCCCGGGAGCTCCTCCTGCAGCTCCTGTCTGCCCTGCCCAGTGCTGCTCATGAACCCAGTGCCCAGAACCACTCCCATACCAAGCTCTGGAGCTGCGAATTTTTTCCTTATGGTTTAGGTATAATCTGGTCCAAAGAAAAAAATTGTTCTAAAGAGAGCTCAGGGTAAAAAGGTGAGATAGGGAGTGTGGTCCTGTTCTGAGAGCAGGATCCAAAACCAAGCCCCCAGCCCAGCTCCACCTCCCTCCTGTGCCTGGTTTCCATCTGCACCAGCTGTGTGGGAAGGGGTGGAAGTGGTTTTTGGCATGTGGAAGTGAGAGCCAGCAGAGCATTTCTTGCTGGAATGCATTTAGCTGTGCTGTGGTATAAAACCATTCCATATTCCACTGTCAGGAGCGGGCAGTGAAGAGCTTCTGCTCCTCAGATGAAACAAAGAGCTGCAGGCTGTTGATACAAATAGCTGAAAGCTGCTGAAAATGCAACCAGACCTATTTAAAGGATAATCTGGGATACAGATGTGAAAGTGCAGCCAGGGCCCCCAGAGCCAGAGCAGTTAATTCGGATTAAAAGCCAGTTGTGCCCTGAGGGCCTTGAACAGGCTGAGTGGGGCATGAGCTGTGTGCTGGGAATGCTTCCTCAGGGTCCTTCCCTTCCCTTCCCTTCCCTTCCCTTCCCTTCCCTTCCCTTCTCCTCCCTCCTGACGTGGGAGGTTCAAAACTTTAGGGAAGATTTTGATCTCTTTATAGTGCCTGGACAGGCTGGATTATATCTTGGTTCAGGTAAACAACAGGCAGGAGCTTTGGAGACAACCTTGATAAATCCTGGCTTGCAGATCAGCCTGACAAGCTCTGAGGAGAAGTGTTGGATGTCAGCCTCTCTCGGGATAGTTTCAAAGGGGTTTGTGCCAAGAAGCTGTTAGTGCACAACTGTGGACTCCAGGGGTTTCCTCCTGAAGGAAGGCTGGGAACTTGGGATGGCTTTTAACCTTGTTTGTTGCTGAAGAGGATGGTCGATAATAGGAGGAAGTTCAGAGCTTGTTCCTGTTAAGCTGTGCCTGCAGAAGTCATGAAGCAGATCCTCGGGTCCTTGGGGAGGGTGAAAAGAGCAGATCATAAAATAGCCCAAAGATCCAGTAGTGAACAGTGAAAACTAAAATGCTCTTCTTCCAAATTACCTGCACTCAGGCAACATAGTGAGGCATTGGCCATAAACCATAAGTGATAGCAGCAGATGCAGCAGGTTTTTCTTGTTCTTCATGGCAGTTTTTGGTGTCAGGTTGGATTTTTTTTCCCCCCCTAATCTTTTCTCTGGACACAATTTTTATGACATCTGCAATTATAACTTTAAGCATTCCCTTGGTCAGGGGGTGAAATCCCACTGCATGTCTGGGCAGATACTGAAACCTGGCCTTGAGCAGGCTTTAAGGAAGCCTTGAGGCTTTGCTTTCCTCGCTCTCAGCACAAACACCGAACTGGGAATGGGGATGCTGGAGCGCAGCAGGAGGCTGCAGGTGCCCATGCTGGCCCCTGCTCTGGTGTAATGTGCATTAGTCTTGGCACACCAGTGCATTAAGGATTTCCCCACGCTGCTGCCCTGCTGGAGCTCGTGCTGCCCTGCTGGTCTGGTCCCACAGCATCAGCTCCCTTTCCTGGCCATTTCTGGGGCAGTGCCTGTGCGAGCCTGGGAGCAGCAGTCAGGGAATCCTTGCCTTCCTCCTGACGTTCCTCTTAGGATTCCTCACACCTGTGAAAGCCATTTGTGCACCAGATCAGTGCCCCAGCATCCCACAGCTCTCCAAGCAGCTGTTCCCAAGCACCACCTTCTCCCCCAGGGCACCAACCTTCCCAGGAAACTGGACACCAACCTCGCCTTTGCACAGGGCACGATGTACATTGGTGCCTGATGTCCCAGTGTGCAGTGATTTTAACCTGCACCCCAAGGCTTGGGAAGAAGCCCTGCTTCCATGAAATCATTATCTACTGCTATTCCAAGTTTCCTGTCAGGAATTCCGGCTGGCAGCGCTGCTCTCTGGCTCAGAGTAGCCAAGGTAAAAGTGACTTGGAAGTTTTTGCTGACGTGCTGAAGAGTTCAGTGCTGTGCAAGCATTTCTGTGTTGAAAAGGCCAGCCTGGACCAGCCAATGTGCCACAAATGGTTAAATCCCTTTGCTAAGTTTTTTCAGATGGGGTTTTCAAGAGCTGATCCAGTAAGAAGCAAATCTAATGCAGCTGGATGCTGGTCTAACAGGGAACGGCAGGGAGCCAACTGGCTGCCCTGCCACTCTTCACACTACAATAGGAAAATGCCGGAGTGGGAACCTCCCTTCCCTTATTCCTGGCCAGGAGAAGTTAACTGTGCAGCCCCCATGCCCACAAGCACTAACCCAGCCTGGGACTGAGGGGTTTATTCTGCTGTCGAGGCAGTGGCCAGTGAAGTCAAAGGCTTCATTTTGGGCATTTCCTTTCTGTGTCACAGGGCATCTGTGACCAAACACCTTCCCTCTGCTATGAAATCGGCAGCCAGGTGGAATTGGTGGCTGCCAGTGTCACAGACCCAACTGCTACCTCGATTTTGCCTGTCCTGAGATGATTTCATTAATTGATAAGGGATGATCCTTCACTGTGAAGTGCTGTGCACCAGCCCCGTGGGGCTCTGGGCTGCTCGGTGTGGCCTTTGACTCACTCCCTGCAGCTCTCCCTGCCCCAGCACAAGGCAGCAGGGAGCTGCTCATGGCTTTGGATGTTTCTGGGGTTTTAGTCTGTTTAGCAGCTGTGTTACCGAATTTCACAGAAGAGTGTGATGGTAGTGCCAGTGAGGGAGGCTGTGCTGGGATTTTGTCTCTGTGCCGCTTTGCTTTCCTGGGCAGAGTGGGGTTTGTTTATTAAAAAACAAACCAACAGAAATAATGTAAAGCACCATAAAACTGAGGATGAAATGATTTATAGCAGCCGGGCCAGCGCTGGCACCCAAGGCAGTTCAGCACGGGGGGCTCAGAGGCTGGAGAGGCAGAAGGGAGGGAAGGGTTTGCTGCTGCTGCTGCTGCTGCCCGGGGACACAAGTGGAGCTGTGTGACGGTGTCCCCTGGCAGGCCATGCAGTACATGGAGCTGGTCCCCAAGGAGCTGCAGCCCGTGGCGGGCACGGACGGCGCCCTGCACCGGCGGCGGCGGCTGGCACGGCAGCTCCCGCTGCACGACCAGGACCCAGCCCAGTGCCGCGGCCTCGCCGAGGGCGAGCAGCAGCTGATGGAGGAGTTCGTCAGCAAGTACAAGGCCGAGGCGCTGGGAGTCGGGGAGGTGGCGCTGCCGGGCCAGG